ATGAGTTGTAAATTTTTTTTCCAGCTAGTTTTGGTTGTTAATATATTTAAAATATGGCAGAAAAAAATAATGAAATTAATTCAAGATTCTCAAAGAAAATAAGATATATACTGTGATATGTAAAATTTTAAATATGAATATTAAAAAGTATCTGTATCTACAACAATTATTCCAATATCTTTTATATTTATTTGACTATGAACTTAACTCAACAATTTTTTCAATATCATCTATTATCATGGGTGGATGTCTATACCTACAAATCAACACCTAATTATAACCCCTCCCTTGTCTTAATATCATATCTTTTTGTATCTTTAAAAATATATTTCACTGTATTTGTAGAAAAAGAATTACATGAACGCTTAACCCGCTAACAATTCTCATTAGATATTAATCCACGTTATAAACCCAAGTTATTATATCTCAGAATAGTAAATCAAAGTGTTTCTCCTTTCGAAATCAACTGAAAATTGGAACAAATATACATAACCCCTCTTCCCCTTTACAATCTTTACTTTTATAAATTATTAATATTAAATTTACCGAATGTCTTTTTTATATATTATTTTAAATCATCGCAAAACCAATATATCATTTTACAAATAAAATATAACGCCATTTATAATATTACCGCAATCCTTTATCTAAATTATATTTTTCCCCTAAAAATGATAAAACTTTATATATTTTTATGCTAGGTGTAAAATAATCTTTTACAAACATTATATTTTCGATAAAATTTGTGATATCTTAATTATTAGAAAGATATTATTGTATGGTAATATTGTAATTAATTAGTGAAGGTCAACAGTCCGATCTATTTTTTGAGGACCGTGGTCCGGACCGGTCTTTTATTATTATTTAAGTTTGCTTTACTATTCAATTAATATAATTTTTTTGTATATTTTATTTTATGATATTTTTCTAGATGAGTTATTTTAGATTTTGTTAATTTTTATTTTACAATATGAAAACCATAAGTTTGTCCAAGAAACATTTTACTTATAGTCCCAATAAAAAACATAGAGTATGTGTTCACTGCAATACCAAATTTAATGTATCGTCAGCAACAAGTTACAAAATAATTGTTTATAATTTTCTAAGCAATAAATTAATCAAAATAAGCAATCATTATTAAAATATTTTGTTTATTATTTATATAGTTCTATTTTTTCTTAAGAAACTGTCTGAATAATTCATTGTAAAATTAACTTAACCTTATTCTTAATAAAATAATTAGGTACCTTAAGCAGACATCTGATAAAACATAAAATATATACTTCTAATGATGAAAATGAAAATATCTCAAAAACACAATCTACTCTTAATATAAATATTCCCTCCTCAAGCACTTAATCACTTTCTTCAATACCATTGGATAAATTTTATTGTTTATATAATACTCTTATATTTAATAAAACAAATTAAATTAGGTTAAAAAAATATGTTTTTTAAACAAATAAAAAGATCGACCCTGGACAGCTCTTTTTATTTAGGAGTCTGGATCGATCTTTTTCTTATGACCGTGGTCCGGTCCGGTCCGAGGGAATCGGTCTAGTCCGGACCAAAGACCGGACCGTGACCTTCACTATAATTAATCTATAAATATGCCAATAAAAAAAAGTGTTATTTAAAAAAAATATTAATAACAAGTATTCAAGAAAAATATCAATAACAAGTATTCAAAAATTATTTAAAAATATTAATTTATCTTACTTTAACCATTAAAATGTGATCATTTGTAATTTATAAAAATCTATTTGTTCGAATCAATTTTTGATAGATAATAAATGGAATTTAGCTTATTTTTTAAGTAATAATACAAAATGATTTTAAAATATATTAAAATAGAAAATAATTTGAATAAATTTTTTTTATAAAATAATAATACGCCAACTTGCGGATTTAATATTATTGAAATTTAAAATGTAATTATAATTATTTTAAAGGTTTAAACTATTTATCGAATAAACAAATATTCATAAATTGAATAAAAGAATCTACATCGTTTTATAATTAATGGGGATTCAGATATAATTATTGAAATTTTATTTAATTTAACGTATATATTTTATTGGAATAAGAGTATCGCCTATTTATCGAATAAAAAGAATAAACAAATTTTCATAAATTGAATAAAAGAATCTACATCGTTTTATAATTAATGGGGATTCAGATATAATTATTGAAATTTTATTTAATTTAACGTATATATTTTATTGGAATAAGAGTATCGCCTATTTATCGAATAAAAAGAATAAACAAATTTTCATAAATTGAATAAAAGAATCTACATCGTTTTATAATTAATGGGGATTCAGATATAATTATTGAAATTTTATTTAATTTAACGTATATATTTTATTGGAATAAGAGTATCGCCTATTTATCGAATAAAAAGAATAAACAAATTTTCATAAATTGAATAAAAGAATCTACATCGTTTTATAATTAATGGGGATTCAGATATAATTATTGAAATTTTATTTAATTTAACGTATGTATTTTATTGGAATAAGAGTATCGCCTCTGATGGCGATACTCTGAGATAAAATTTTGTTAACTTTCTCTTTATATTTTTTTTATTATAAAATTAAATTAAATCAAAAGTTTATAAAAAATGAAAAACTAATACAATTTCGTTAATGTAATAAATATCATCAGTCATTTACATAAAAATTAATACATCTGTTAAAATAAATCACTTTATCAAATAAAATATACATTAAAAAAGTGTACATTACAACATTTATTATGGATAAAAGGAAATTCAACTAATAATGTATCTTCCTTTATTATTGAATATATCTAATAATTTAATTTTTTATAAGTTATTTATATTATAGGAAAATGAATCTCACTAAAATTAATAGAGAATAATCTTAATAAGCATTTGCAGTTTACCTTGACATTTGCAGTTTAGTCAAACCCTGATAATTTAGTTAAATAAGTTTATAAATGTTGTTTGAATTTGTTTTCACAGTTTTCGAAAGCCATTTTTACAGTGTTAAATGTATATTTTATTTTTCAAGCTCGGCTCTATTTTTTTTTGCTCCGGCCAAATGAAGCTAAAAACCTAGACCGATTATTTATTTATTAAAGTGTACACGCATTCAGGGATCCAAACCGAAACGAATATCGGTTCAGGTTCGGATAAAAATAACGGTTCAAGGTTAGGTTCGAACCTCAAAAAACCGGTTTGAACACTTTTATATTCAAACCTATATTCGTATTTTGTATAGGGAAGTATATTTTTTTTATCATCAAAATAAAAACACTCACATGAAACTTTCATTTTTTTTAATTTCATATTATAAAATAATATTTAATTTATAAATGTAACAAATATAAATCAATGATTTATTTTAATATAACAATATTTAACTTTATTTACTTAAGAATTTTTTATTAAGCCACACAATGAATATATTTTCATGATTTGTCTCACTCAAATTACATTTATAAGGAAATAGTATAAATTTAATTGGTAAAAAACATCTTTCCACACTAACTTAGGTAGCCGGCACTGCCAGTATGATATCAGACAATTTGTACTTGTTCTTCATCATTTTCAGACACAATCCTTCAAAAATAATTTTACCATCTTAATAAGATATGCCCCATTGTCAGTTGTCAGAGTGACCATTTGTGATGTTTTGATTTCATAATCATTTAATATTTTTATTAAAAGGAGTTTTAAATTTTCTGCAGTGGGCCGTTCATAAATTTTTATGATTGCTAGTGTTCTCAGCTTTTTGATTATACTGAAGATTAATCCCAATAATGAACCTGTCTATACGAGTAGCAAAGTCAATTTTTAAAGATGACAACTTGCCATTTATTTCTTTAAGTATTTTGTTGAATACTTAAAGCTAATTCTGCAACATAAGAATGAATTTTTTGAGAATTAATTTTAATATTACCTATGCCTTCTACCATAGGATCAAGAATTTTTTTAAAACCACTATCACCGATTAATTTGAAAGGTCTGCCATTTAAAGTGACAAACTTAGTTCAAACATCGATTATTTTTTTATTTAGCTTTACTGATGTTGTTTGTTCTTTTAATGCTTCTTCTATCCTATTTTGGTTTGATGACATCTTAAACTTTTTCTTATTTTATTAAGCTTTTGGGATATTTTGTTAATTTTAAAGTTTTCAAGAAGGTGGTTTCTTTTTATGAAACGCTCAATATTTGCTCCATGACGGCCTTTCATAGGTATTCTACAATCAGTAATATACATTTTGATTTTTCATTTATAATACTATATATAAATAATTTATATATTGGATTTAATTTTTCTCTAGGCATTATTTATAAGCATAAAATATTTAAAAAATGTTGAAAAATGACAATATACTAAAGTTTATAAAAATTATGACTGACTCTTATCAATCAAATGTGATTGATAATAATTTTTAAAACAATTCTAATATAATTAAAAATTTTTTAATATAGTAATAACTTACACATTGTTTTATAAGCATAAAATCATGAGCCTCGAACTGGTTCGAGGCATTTAGCGGTTCGTTTCAGGTTCGGTTTCGACCCGTGCACACATTGAAGTCAGCCGTAATCAATGTTATTGGCCATAGCGTATAATGCCACCGATAGATATTTTCTCTAAATGCCCTTCCATTGCTTCAATACATTTTAATGAAAATCTTTTTCTTCATTTACGATACGACTCAATTTTATTATATTTTTTAAATGAGTACTACAAGTATTTCGCTTGTAGCTTTTTAGAATCAAAAATGAATGTTAAAATCTCCGTTCTATGATTTCCCTCCCTCCCCCCAACTGAATAAATGATTTAATTTAAATATATTTTCTATTCATACCGGCCCCGGTATGTATTTTAAGACCCGTTTCAACCCGATTTAATTTTTTAAGACAATTTTACTGGCCAACTCATGTTAATCGTGGGATAGATAACTTTTGGGAAAAAAATGATTTAAAACTTTTCTTATATCTTAATATTTATTTTTATTATTTAGAAATGGAAAATTTTCATTTATTTGATAAAGACTTGCCAATAGGAGAAAGTTTATTTTTAAAATCGTATATGTCTGATGTCAAATTTGAGGTTAAATGATAATATTTTTTATCTTAATATAGAACAAATTATATTGAATATCATTGTCTTATTTTATATAGGTGGAGGAAAAAATAATCCACGCGCATTCATTTATTCTATCATTTAAAAGTCAAATGTTTTATACCATGTTCCATGGCAGTTTGAAGTTGAAAGATAATTGTGTAAAGGTTGAAGATCTAAGGAAATGTGTTTTTGAAATAATCCTGAAGTGATTTTTTATAAATATTATATAATTATTTCTAAAACAATATCTAAAAAAGATATATATATACCAATAAAGTTTGTAATATTAATTCTATCGACATTGACTCACTGTTAGAACTCTTGTATGGTGCAAAAAAATATATGCTTAAGAATTTGATCTATATGTGCATTAAAGAAATAAATGAATCTAGGTCTTATTATAGAGTAGATTGTGAAATTGCGTTAAAAGTATATTTAGCAACAGCTATATACCCAGAAATCAATGCTTCTAGTTATTTCTCTGTAAATTTTATTTTATATAATGATTTATAAGATACTAATTTTTAGATTCTTTTGAATAATGAAAGATTTGTATTTGATTCGGATGCTTTCCTTAACGCTCCTATCCATTTAATACAAAAATTTATCACATCCTTACCTAATGGAAGATCGACATCAAAACTCCTAATGTCCGAATTTTTTATTAAATGGGTAAAAAATGAATGCCGCAAATGCCAGATTCCTGATGATTCAAAGAACGTTTTATGTAAACTATCCGATAAAAATTCCGATTTTATTTCCTCCATTTTGGATTACGATCGAGTAGACGTGATTCAATTGGTTCGTAAGCACAAATTATTAGAGGACACCGAGATACTCGACATTTTGTTAAAAAAAATTCCGATCCCCCAAGAAACATCCTTTAAGTAAAATTATGAAATAAATCACTTTATGATGATAATATTTAAATCTATATATTATGATTCTTAATAAAAGGTAAAATTCGTTTTCATATATCTTTCGACTAGTTTTCTTTACAAAAAAATATTTCTAGTTATGGTTTAATCAATTTTGTTACATTATAAATAACACAATATGTATATATTTAGAAAAATGATGAAGTTAAATATCGAGAAAAGAAAAGGTTTATAAAAAAAATTGATATTTCAATCATCCATTTAAAAAGGAAAAAAGATACTGGCATTATCTGATTAAATACTAAGGATAACCAGTAACTCTCAATCCCATGCCTGGCGCCTATAAATTATTCCTTATATAAATCTTAAGATATTTTTTATTTTGTTCTAAAACTACGGCTTTGAAAGAATCAATTTTTTTTTTTTACAAAATAAAACAATTATTAAAAAGCATTTTCTAGTTAATAAAAATGGATTTAAATAGATGACTGAGGTGGGGGGGGGGAGAACCTTGAGCTTTTAATATATTTATGTGTTAAGTAAGCATTTTTCTAAAATTTGTTTTAAACATATTGTGATTGACCTAATGCCGAGCTCAAAACCGACAACTTACTAAATATTCGATTGTTTATAAACCGAAAATTTGACATATTTATTATGCATGATTACGATTATTATTCTAAGTGGTAACCTATAATATTTAGTGATGTTAAAAGTTACCTTTGAAACATAACTAGTTACAGTTACTAGTTACATTGGCAAAAACATAACTAGTTACAGTTACTAGGTACATTTTTACAAAAGTAACTAGTTATTAGTTACAGTTATTTTCAAAAGTAACTAGTTACTTACTTTATACATCATTCATATGCGCATTATTTATTTATTGAATGCATTTATTTAATATAAAAAAATTAGGATAAACAAAGTATAATCAGTTATTTAAAATAATATACAATTTATTTATATAAAAAACTATCGCAAAATTGAATATTTACATCGAATATAAAAATATATATTTACATTGAAAAAAAAACATTTTTTTTTCATAAAAATTAGAATCTAATAAATGTTTATTTGCTTTTAACAACAAATTAATTTCAAAGTTATTATCTAGGAGACGTGCTCGTTTATCTCCAAAAATGAACTTACCTAGACTGAACAAGCGCTCTACGGGAGCACTTGATGTTAGAACAACATTATATTTAATAAAGAGTAATTTTAACTTTGGAAAATTGTTATATAAAGAAAAAGTGTTGTTATTAGATTTGATAAAGTTTTCTATAAGTTCATTATCCAGAATATTTTGGCGCTTTAGGTCAAAAAATCCAACTACATCAAGTGATGTTGGTTTTGAGCATTTCATTTGTCTGATATTCACTTTGAGGTATTAAGGTATTTATTAAATTTAAAATTTCCTCCTTTTTTGCTTTATTCCTTTCTTGCCTAATCCAAGGCCAGTCAGTTTTAAATAAAGGGTGAAGAATTGCAGCAATGATGTTGTCATTATCATAAAGATTATTAAACCTATAACATGATATTTTTGTTAGACTTGGTTCTTGTAAATAATGATTATTAATTTAATATTAAATTCTAAAATAATCTGACCTTGTTTTTCCTTATACTAAATTTAAATTTTTTTTTATTACGTATGATATGATTCCAATGCTTGTTACTTGGCGGAAAAAAATATATTTTGCTACATTTGTAAATAAATATAATATTAAAATTTATTAAATTACTTGAATTTGCTTAAAAAATTATGAAACCCAGCAGCAATGTAACAATTTAAGAAAAGAAAATCAATTTGAACGGGAAATTATAACAATCAGACATTTTCACAAAATTTTAAATTAATAAATTTAATTTAAAAAATAAATTTAATTTATCACAACATATTAAAAATAAAATTAATTATTGGAATATATCTTTAAAAGTAACTAGTTACTTTTGGCAGTTACATTTCAAAAATTACAACTAGTTACAGTTACTAGTTACCTTAACATCACTAATAATATTACATTAATAGTATCATAAACTCAATTTTAATTTTTTAAAAATATGTGTATTCAGAAGTTGTGATTGGCTGTCAGTAGTGAAGCTACGGGAAGGGGGGGGTCAGGTTAGGACCCCCTCCTACTAGAGCAAAAATTTTTTTTAGATTATACGTTCAAAAGTCTCAAAAGTGACTATATATCAAATAAATAGCATGAATATTTATTTTTTTCTGGTTTTCATGCCGTTTATTATCAACAATTAAAATGATAAATAGGGATGAAGGCCCGTTAAAGGGGGCTGGGGGGGGGCACCCTCCAGGCTTTTATATGTATGAACCCCCTCTAAGGAAAATTCCTAGCTCAGCCTCTGGCTGTAGTAGACGCCAATCTAAATGCCTCTAATGGCTTACTTTAGTTTAATTTATACACATTTTGACTGCATTATAATAATGAACGAATGAATTATCAGAGGTCTAGATTGATATTAGTGTCAATACATTATATAGGTTATATTTATTAATGCATAAAAAACTAAATAAACTTATGAACAAATTACCCTTTAAACAATAAAGTTTTTTTTTTAAATAATAAACTGAGGAAATTATTTTATTGATATCAAATATTATTATATAAAATATTTCAAATAGGCTACGGGACGGAAGAGAAAAGCCTAATGATTTCCTGATCTTAGCCTTTAGCTTGCTCGTAATGTATTTATTCTATGTTTACGTGTGGCACAAAGATAAAAATGTTCAAGCATACGAAAAGCTAATCATTCATTGTATGAAAAGCGCTAAAAAATTATTTTTTAAAAAAAAAGATTACCCTAATTGAAACTGTACCACTGGAATAAAATTCAAGTCAAAAATGATTATCAAGTTATAAATGATTATGAAAACTACGAAGAAATATTTTGATTGATTAATTTTTTTTAAAAAATTAATGTAAATTTCATAAATTTGTATATTTATACTTGATATTTAACTGTAAATTGCTTATGTGTACCATTTTTAAATATAGATGGGAGATAAGACGAACTATTATGAATTACATTTATTTGATATTCTGAATAATGAAGAAAACTTTGATAACTTTTTATATATAATATTTTCTATATATATATACAAAAATTAATTTTGAGTGAATTTTTCAATAAAGAATTGTTTTTTGAGTATTTTTCTCAACCTGAACTGGGTTTTCCCAACCCTACAAATATAAATAATAAGCAATGATGATAAAATATATGAAGTATTACACTTTAAATAATAAGCTATAAATCAGAAAAGATATATCTCAATAACAACAATTATATATTTAATATCTATCAAAAACTTTCAGTTTATATCATTAGCTATGTTAGCATCTTGGTCCTGGTAATTCTTGCTTCCCAAGTTTGTCATTTCAGTCCTTCACATATTATCACCAAATTAGTGAGTTAGTTAAAATTGTTCTAAGCAAATCTTTTATATAAGCAAGAAACCCTGAACTAAATGTATTCGACAACCTATACATTTGTAGATTATATCCTATAAATTTCATTAAATTTTGAAAAGTACCATCTTAAGATAAAAAATACCAAATATAAAAATTAATGAAAAGTGAGAAAAAAATTGTTTTGAATCGATATCTTTTTAATGATGATCTCATACTAAATGAATATAAAGTAGGTATAGTTTGTATGAAAATTCATTTTTTTTAAAATCAAATTTGAAATAATTAGCTCTAAAAATTAAAAAGTGCCTTTTTAACCCAGTGTTCATGAAAAATAATTATATAGCTTTGGTTCGAACCTTTAAGGATAGGGTTGTATTTTTTGGCACATACAAACTTATCAAAATTTTGTAAAGAAAATCACATTTTTAAAAATTATATCCAAAAAAAATAATTATCAAGCCTTCAAATATTTTCAAGATTATGTTAAATTATATTTATAATGAGAAAAAATTTATTATGGCTGAGAACACATAATCCTGGTTAGCTGAAATTAGTGATGTTAAATCACCCAACTTTGTCCAACTCCAATATGGCTTGGTCAAGATTATCCGCTAAAAAAAATTGACTTATAGGTCTAAGTTTAACCTCAACTTACTGGTAGTGACTATTTTTTTTAGAATATAAACTTGGCTAATACGTTTTACAGTTAACCAAATTTAGATGGTTTAACAACACTACACTTAATCCTGGTTAGCTGAAGATATAAATAAAATAGTAATACACTTAATAGTCAGGATATCAAATTCAAAAAGCTCAAACAGATTCAGAGCTCATTTTGTAGGTTCAGGTGACAAAATTTTTGAAAGTTGTCTTTTAGGGTTAAGAAAATAATTACGGTTAAAACTGGTTTAAAAATTCGGTTTGGATCCCTGAAAAAAAAAATTTACTTCATGAATAATTTTTGAATGTTTCAAAATTTTTTAAAAAAACTTTTTCAAAGCAGGTTACTAGTTATATATATTTTTTAAAAAAAATGATTTCGGTTATTAGAATCTATTAGGATTGGACATATTTTTGGTAATTTGTTCTTGAAATTTAAAGGGCAACTTTACGCAATCTGGTTATAGTAAATGAATAAGCGTTTTGAAATACAACAATATCATTTTCATTGTATGAAAAGCGCTAAAAAATTATTTTTAAAAAAAAAAGATTACCCTAATTGAAACTGTACCCCTGGAAGAAAATTCAAGTCAAAAATGATTATCAAGTTATAAATGATTATGAAAACTACGAAGAAATATCTTGATTGATTAATTTTTTTAAATTTCAATTTTTTAAATTTATAATATTTATACTTGATATTTACATGTAATTGCTAATGTGTACCATTTTTAAATAGAGGTGGGAGATAGGACAAACTATTATGAATTACATTTATTTGATATTCTGAATAATGAAGAAAACTTTGATAACTTTTTTAATAATATTTTCTATATATAAACAAAAATTAATTTTGAATGAATTTTTTCATAAAGTAATGTTTTTTTGAATATTATTCTCAACCTGAACTGCTTTCGGTTTTCCCAACCCTACAAATATAAATTATAATGAATGATAATAAAATACTTGAAAGAACTTTAAATATTAAGCTATAGGCAGAACAAAGGTATATCTCAATTTTATTAAAGAAATAAATAGTTGTAGGAGTTATTATGGAGTAGATAATAAAGATGCGTTAAAAATATATTTAGCAACAGCAATACACCCAGCAATCAATGCTTCTAGTTATTTCTCTGTAAATTTTATTTTATATAATGATTTATAAGATATTAATTTTTGATTCTTTTGAATAATGAAAAATATGTATTTGATTCGGATGTTTTCCTTAACTCGCCTATCCATTTAATAAAAAAATTTATCACGTCCTTACCTAATAGAAAATCAACATCGAAACAAATCATTTCAGAATTTCTTATTAAATGGGCACAAAAAGAATGCCGCAAATGCAAGATTCCTGATGATTCAAAGAACGTTTTATGTAAATTATCCTATAAAAAATCCGATTATCTTTCATACATTTTGGATTTCAATCGAGTAGACATGATTGAATTGGTTCGTAAGCACAAATTATTAGAGGACACCGAGATACTCGACATGTTAAAAAAATTTACGATCCCCCAAGAAACATCCTTTAAGTGAAATAATGAAATAAGACACTTTATGATGATAATATTTAAATTTATATGCAAAAACACATTTATTTTGTATAAATATTAATAAAATGTAAAATTAGTTTTCATATATCTTTCGACCAGAGTTGTTAAACGCTATTTTTAAAAGTAGCGCGCTACCGCTATAGCTATTTGCAAAAAAAAGTAGCCCGCTACCGCTTTCGCTATTTGTCAAAAAAAGTAGCGCGACATTAGCTACTTTTTTCCAAAAGTAGCTTTAGCTACTTTTAAACTACTTTTTATTAAAAAAATATTAGAAACAAATGAAACAAATTTTTTTTATTTTTTTTTTGCTTATAATGTAAATGTAAAATAAATATTATATAAAAATATCATCATAGTAAATGATGGATTATCAACCAAGGACAATGGCTGAACTGTGTCAATAATAAAATCAACAATTACTTTATCAGCCAATTTTTGTGAAATATTGGCATGTTTATTATCAGTTAATTTGGTTTGGATAGTATTTGTCTTTTTGAATGAAGATTCTCCTATACCAAAATTTTTTATATGTTTCTCTATTTCCTTATAGCAATTGGCGTGAACAGTCTAATAAAATAAATAATATTATAATGTAAAAATAACAATTTACCTTTAGGTGTTTCTTCAGGTTATAGCTACTCGATTGATTTGATGATATATTTTTTTTACATTTTAAGCACAGGAATTTGAATCCAGATTTTGTTTTAATATTTATTTAAAAAATTTTTTCAAATCTAGGGAATGGGAAATCGTTATAAAAGTTATTAAGTACATTTTCTTCCATTGAATCTCCCATGTCTGAATCACTTTTAAGAATTTGGATATCCATGGGCGATGCCATTTTAGATTATTAACACAGAAAAAATTGAAAATATATTTAAATTTCCAAATTAAATAATAAATTATAAAAATTATAATTAAATTATATTTAAATTTCATGTTTATACTTACATTCATTATATTTTTTAAAAGTAGCGAAGTAGCGCGCTACTTAGCCACTTTTAAAAAAAGTAGCGCGCTAAAAAATTAAATAATTTTAAAAAAAGTAGCGGCTATTAGCTATAGCTACCAAAAAAGATAGCGAGCTACTTTAACAACTCTGCTTTCGACTAGTTTTCTTTACAAAAAAATGTTTCAAGTTATGGATTAATCAATTTCGTTACATTATAAACAACACAATATGTATATATTTGTAAAAACTATGAAGTTAAATATCAAGAAAAGAAAAGGTTTATAAAAAAAATATATATTTCAATCATCCATTTAATAAGGAAAAAAGATACTGGCAATATCTAATTAAATACTAAGGATAACCAGTAACTCCCAATCCCATGCCTGGCGCCTATAAATTATTCCTTATATTAATCTTAAGATATTTTTTATTATGTACTAAAACTACGACTTTAAGAGCCACAAATTTTTTTTTACAAAAGAAAAAAATTATTAAAAAGCATTTTCTAGTTAATAAAAATGGATTAATAAATAGATGAGGTAGAAGGGGGGGGGGGGGATAGAAAGTTAGGAGCACTTTGCGCCTTTAATAGATTTATGTGTTAAGTAAGCATTTTTCTTAAAAATTTTTATAAAAATATTGTGATTGACCGAGCTCAAAACCGACAACTTACTAAATATTCGATTGTTTATAAACCGAAAAGAGATTTTGATCAATAACGCCAGCAATATGTGCCTCACCAGTTTTCTATTATTTTACGATTCTAAACCTCCTCATAAATTAAGTATCAAAGAAATCTATAATTTTTTTGTTTAATTTTTAGTTTTTCCACATGTATTTACACCCAAATACTAAAAAAAAGCGCTATTTAATAATCATTCTGGTTTTCTACCATATTTATGCATTTAACGCCCTCTTATGGAGATATATTTGTTATATTTTATAACTAAAAATAAAATTTGAGTTGTAAATGATAATTTTTTTTTTCCATTTATAATATTAAGTAAAAATAAATTTAATCTCAATTTTTTATATTTAATAAAATTAATGAAAAAATTGATTTATGTTAAAGTAATCGCTATTTAAACTCTTTGAATAATATGATGATCATCTTTTAAACTCTTTGAATAACATGATGATCATCTTTTAAACGCTTTGATAATCACTATTTAAACTCTTTGAATAACATGATGATTATCTTATAAACGCTTTGAATAGTATTATTTTTCTTTATCGTGAATTAATAATAATCTATTTTATTTTTCTATCCTTTAGTAAAATAGTTGAAAGAAGC